TCCGCAAGATGAAATCTACCATGCCTGGGGTGCGCGTAGAAAACCGGTTTCTATAAAATCCCTCGTTTGTAGGCGTTTGCAAACATCAAAAACCGTCAACTTTACCTCTGGACTTCTAGAGAATTAGAGAACGAATTGCAGCAAACCTATTTACTCTAATCAATAGGAAAAAAGCTAACTAGGCAAGACGGCCCAATGGGAAGGTGCGCGGAAGAAAAAGGTGAAATGAATGTGGTAGTGGTGACCCAAATTACATACGACTTCACGGGTCTCGTAATTTAGCAACACTGCGTCAACCGTGTAGGCTCGATATCCTCGGAAAGGCTCTTTTTCTCCGTGAGCCGACACAACCAGTGCAATTAAATATCACTACACCAGGAATGTCATGATTAGAGGGTGTGCGAGTGGTGCGTGTGTGTGCGCGCGCACGCTCAAACAAAGGCACAGACAAGGAAGGGATCGATCGGATCGAATAGCAACTGAGTGAACGCGCACATGAACGCAAATGAAATTCTGTTGGAGAGTGAACGGGTCAATGCAGTTTGTACCGTTTTCATTCGGATTAAACGGATAGCAGAGAGCTAGCAAAAGTTCATGTGTGTGTTCAAGGATTATAATAACCGGATAAGCTGTGGAAGAATGTACTTGTTTTTCTTCACTAGTGATTCGAAAACTCGAACTGGTCTAACCTGAGTAGTGTATAACGTACAATAGAACTATTGATCCACCTACAGAGTGAAGTGAGAAAAGAGCAAACAGTAACTAAAGACCGGTGTGATGTTAATGAAGTGGACGAATCAGAGTATTCGATAGCACCTGATAAAAAGAAACATTTTGGGGGCTTGGTTCAATTGAGAGTTCAGCAATGAGTCGATTACTCAGTCATTGATAAATCTCCCAAGAATTTAAGGTAGTCGAGTGCAATGCAGCATATTCCCACAATCAATTTTCATTTTAATAAATCGAACACAACTGACAAGGAACTCCCGCTTTATGATTTGAAGACACTGACAGATTTAAAGTTAAAGCAAATTGCATGGCTTTGTGAACCCTCTGATCACAAAAATCCAACCACTTAGAGTGTTTGAGGAATAAGTCTGTCTAGTGGAAAGGAAATTTGAAAGAACAGCTTTCCCTGTGGTAACCAATTTACGGTATCTATCTAAGCAAGGGATCAGTACGTATTACGATTGCTGTCGGTTTACCAATCACGACATCCGCGGCAATGAACTGCATCCTAGTAGTTGTCTGTATTTTAAAGTGTGTTTGGACGCGAAAGAGTGCATCACGCAGACATGTCTAAATACTTACAGACCATCATCGTCTGAATCCCCTTCGTCATCGCTGCCTTCTTCCCGCCACCGACGATACCGTTCGATCAGCTCCTGCAAAATACTGTTCTTTCGGGCTCGTTTGATAAAAGGATGCCGCAATAGTTCGTGCGCAGTCGGCCTCTGAAGGTGCGAAAAGAAGAAAAGGGGGGCCAAGGTTTTCGATCACAATGAAACATGAGCTGTGATTGTTTCTTACATTACATTACTTCAACTGATTCCCCACTGAAAGGCTCGGTACAAGAGAAATCCCAAGCGATCCCCTGACTATTTGGAGTGCATCTGCAGACAACGCACAAACAAGTATGGACTGCGAGGTAGAAATACGTTGGTGCATAGTTGAGATTGGTCTTGAGGAGTTTACTCACCACTCTACAGGTGTTTACAAGCAATGAATCTATGCATTCTTGTGAATTCGAATAATTTATGTCAAAGCTCTTGGATCAAGGTCTCGACTACCATCAACCTGGTTTAGCGAATAGAACGAGTGGCATGCCCGGCGTATGGCGTATGTCTCCGAAAGCCTTAGTGTGATCGGGGTGAGTGTCTGCGGTTGCGGTTGGTCTCCACTCTCTGGCACCTTGCAAAATGTTTCCATACGACCAGGCGTCTCAAACAGCCTCTGTTGAGGAAGCCATACTCACTACCCTCCCATGATAGGTTTTCCTACCAGAAAGCACGAAAAGCCTACATCCGGGACTGTAACTCGGGCGATAAACCACAAGCGATTCACCTAGGCAAGTTAGCTAAAAATTCGTAATCTAAGGCAACCAAGTTCAGTTCAATTCAGTTTAACAACCGTCAACCATGCACTTTCGTGCTCCGGTTTTGGTTGGAAAACAAGAGGCATAGAAACCACACCTCTCTGGTTAAGGTAGTAGTCGCCTATTGGAATAGGCATAGAGCGGTGTTGGGCATCTTGGACGTTTGACTCCGACCAAAGGGTTTAGGACCCGATGAACTGGATCCCGGCCACAAATGGAGTGCAATTTCTACACATATTCCCGCCATTTTGCGAGTCATAATTGGATAGCCGACGGCTCCGGTTGAGATTCCCTTGGAAAAATTCCCCTCCATTGGCCTGGGCAATCTAGGAGTATCG